CAACAAAAAGGCCTTTTCGGAAAAAAATGCAAACAAAAACTTAATTACACCTCACACAAAGGCACAGGTTTTGTGAAGTTCTACAGGTAGCTTCAGTTTTGCTTCTTCCCCAGTTTCATCATATTCCATAATTTAAAAGCACTTTTTATTTTTAAATGCTGTTTTGGATGTTATTTCATTTCTTTTTACCACTGATTCTGTTGCTTACATTGGTTTAGAAACAAAAACAACAACATTTGAAGGACAGCAAACCATAGCTGCTTTTATATATGCTAAGGAACTGAGCTACACAACAGCAGATTAAGTGCCCCTTCAAAGAGTACGTCCATAATTTAAAAGCACTTTTTATTTTTAAATGCTGTTTTGGATGTTATTTCATTTCTTTTTACCACTGATTCTGTTGCTTACATTGGTTTAGAAACAAAAACAACAACATTTGAAGGACAGCAAACCATAGCTGCTTTTATATATGCTAAGGAACTGAGCTACACAACAGCAGATTAAGTGCCCCTTCGAAGAGTACAAAGTGGTGAATTCTGCTGAAAGATCTCAATACATCTCATAGCTCAGTGGTATACACATACTGTATTTTTATTTTTGACAAGACAAATACACAGAAGCCTTGTTCTCCCCCAGTCTACCTTCTGCTCTACTTAGTGCAGTGAGCCCAACCAAAAAAGACAAGTCACGAAAACAAGCTGTGTGGAATCAAATCTGTGTGCACTGGAGCAAGAGCTAAAGGTAGAAGTACAGCAATTTTAGTGTGTGAACTAACACAACTGTAAAGCTCATCGAGAAATGAATAAATCAAATCTAATTTCTAAAACAGTTTGTATGTAATAATGTTTCTCCACTTCTTCAAGTTTGATCTTGGATTAAATTTACTACGTCCTCTAGGATTTAGATTTTACTGTTTCCCCAGACAGGACAATGAGATTAGTTGGTCTTGATCATACAGTTTTGAAGCAGTGGGCCTTTGTTCCAGACAGTCTAGTTGCCTCTTTCCTCACACTGCTTAAGTTTTCCTAGAATTTTCTTTTTTTTTTGCTGAAGTATGTCAGCACTTTATCCAGGCATCGAGCCAAAAAGAGAGAGAGGTTACCTGTTTTGGCAGTGATGAGTTGCAAGACCAATGGTCGTCTTGTTACAATTCCAGAACCTCGTGGAAGAAAGTCCCTAGAAACATTGAAAAAAATAGTTACCACCCAGAAAGAACTGTCCAGTTACATAAGATATTGGAATAATTTGGAACCTCCTCTAGAACTTCAGCTGCAAAGAAAGTGGACAGTTGGTAGGGACGGATTTACATCACACACTAGTATAAAGTAAAATCGTTACTTTTGGTTCGAGATAGCAGTAGATCATTAGACAAATACATATTAAAACTAAATTACTGTCTAGAGGCATTGCCAATTCTCTTTCTTCATGACCATCATATATAACATTTCAAAAGCCATCTTGCACAGTAAGAGTACCTGAAGTCATGTCCACAGATACCAGGGTTGCTAAATACATGTGATCTCCCCCTATACTTGAAGAGGATATGGGAATATGAACACACACACTCTCACACACCACAGCAAAGCTCTGGCCAAACCAAATTGCCAGCACTCTGCATCTACTCTTTCACGTTTAACTTCTGCCAGTTCAAATCCCCAAATAACTTTTCCAGCAACACAATTGCCCATAAGCTTTTGAGTGGAAACTGGACCCCAGAAGTACTCTGGGACAGCAGGAGAGTGTCCTTGGATCAGAAAGCAAGCAACAAAGCAAAGACAGCAGCTCTCTCATATCATTATGCATCCCCATCATCCTTTCCATGCCTCCAAAGACAGGGAGGCTCCCCATGCAACTGAAACCCTAGAAAAACGTTGAACCAATTGTTAGTAGCAAAACCAGTGATCAGAAACCCAACACACTTTGTTCTTCTTTTGCTTCTGTGCGTGCAGCTTTGCTTTGTTTCTATTAAACTGCCTTTTGTCTTGACCCACAAGTTTGGGGTTTTTGCTCCATCTTATTTTCTCCCCTCTCTGTTCTGATGTAGAGTGGGGGGGGTGATAGATTGGCTTGGTGGGCACCTGGCATTCAGGCAAGGCAAATCCACCACAGTTAATTTCTAGATAAAATGAAAGTCTCACAACATAAAGAGAGACTGTTCAAACACAAGCCAACTCATTAACTTCTACACTCAAACAAAGACCTGCAGGTAAAAGTACCATTAATTAGGAATTCAAGTAATCTCTAAAACAAAGATAATACAAAAAACATAATGCATACTGATTTATATCTGCTGCGATGTTTTACAACACTTGAGACAGCAACAGGATTCATGAACTAGCTTAAAGAGATGCTAAAGGCCTTCAAAAGGTCTATCACAATTTCAATACCCACTGATGGAGAGAAACCTGTGTCTCAATGAAGTGCCATCAATTGATATTTTCTCATGGGGAAGAGGAGAAAATTTTAGTAGAAACACATTCATTTATCTGTGTGGACTGGAATTACAGTAGCCCAGGATGTAGAAAATGCCTACTGAGATGATAGTTTCATATTGATTTTTAAGCATTTCAGATCTTATTTAAAAAAAAAAAAAATTAAAATCCTTTCTCCATCAAGAAGCTAAAATGAATTGCCATTCACAACAAACCAATCACACAAAACAAACCACGGTCCTCTACAGCACCACATAAGGCAGTAAAATCCTTCTTCAAGGAGTCAAAGGCTGAAAAAACTTATCGATTTGCTGCTTCAGGCTAAGCACATTCAGAGATAAAGAACACTGCATTAATGCAACTCCTAGTTATACAACACTGACCTTCCCTCAACAGCAAAATTGGAAAGAAATGTGAGACAATTTTCCTTTAGAACATTCTCTTAACACATCCAAAATAGATGGCGTTCAATAACCCTCTCAAACAAATTGAACTGTTGTCAAAAAGCCCATCATCTGTTCAAGCAAGCCTCAGCAAAGGGAGGCTCCTGCAAATAAGATGCAAGCAGCCAGGTCTTCCAGAACATCACCTCAATAACTCTTCAACCCTAGAACACGCTCAACTGTTAGAATACTATTAAATATTTTCAAGGGCAAAATATTTTCAGGGCCAAATAATTTACCCTAAAAGCTACAAAATTACTCATGTCTTAGTGCACAACATAAACTATACTGTCTTCACTCTCTAATACAGCTCACTTCCAGTCAGAGACCTGGACAAGTATATCTACCAAAATGTTTGTTTAATATGTAAAGATAACAAATATTAGTCTGAATTTGACTTGTTAAAACCCAGGTTTCAAAACCTGATGCCACAGGATGGTGAAAAAAGTTATCAAGGCCATACCAACACCCCAGCAGTCCATAATAAGAGTCAGGGGTTTGACCTTTGCTATAGTAGTTGATTTTACTGTAAGGAGAGGGAAAAAAATAAAAAAGAAAGTTCATGTCTCAATGTTGTCTTTCCTTTATTATATCACCCTTTGTGACTGATGCTTAGAAAGCAAATAAGCTGAAAAAGTAATTAGACAATTAATTAATGGGAAGAGTCCCATGGAAGATATGAGAACATCCTTTCAAATTTCAGAAAGGGCAGAAACCATTGTGAAATGCTGAAAAGCAAACTAGACACCGGCTCCTTCAGTGAGGCTGTCTCGTTACAATACAGGACTACAGCTTACAAAGAAAAGAACACATCTCAAACAAACAAAATATAAACACAATGTGTTCCAAGGGGATTTCCAACTAATCATCGTTTCAAAAGAGTAACTTAAATCTGCTTTACTTTGCTAGTATAGTTCTGAGAAATGTTCTGCACTTTGATCAGTTCCATGGTCAGTATTATACTGGGAAAATGGTGATTAATTTACATTAATACCAATACAATTAATTAATATAAAACACGGGGGAATCCAGGAAATCAAATAACGGAGGAAAATGTCAATGATTAGACAGTAACTACATTAATCAAAGAACTAGGAACAAAGCAAAACTATGATAGTGATGAATTGTAAAAAAAAAAAAATAGAAGTCTCTCCAAAGAAAAAGCCTCCACATTTTTCACAAAGGGTAGAAAGAAGACAGGTTCAGGTCAAGAACCATAATTCTCTTAAAGAGGAGCACACATGACCCATCTAAATCTACTTCATTTTGCCAAACAACATTGGCAATGTTACTTATAAAAATTTTTCCACTAACCCAAAGTTTGTCCCAACACCCCAACCAGCCCTCAGATGCAGAAAGGTCCTGTTCTATGAGCAGCTAACACAAACAACTCTGCTATGGTACCATTCCACACAGGCCTTTATTGCCAAGATTTGCCAAGGACTGCAGTGCAGCTTCAATTGCAATAGGAAGCAATTATGCCCAAAGTCAACAGTTTTCCTCGGCCTTTTTCCAACACAGTGTTTATTGTTTTATACAACTCCAGCCTAGCACACTAGGAGCACTTGTGGCTCCAACTGGCTGCTGAATGGCCTGATCTTGTGCAAAAGAACGTGCTGTTTCACAGTGAACACCTACACATGCCTATACAGCCAGGCAGCTCCAGTACTTTCATTTTGCTTGCATTTATCATATTTAGCCTCAAAGCAAAGTGCTACAAAAGAACATAACAGGGAAAAGCATGGTCCCGTGTAGGCCTACAGAAAAGAGACATTAATAATATCTAACGTCTTTCTTCAGGTTCTCTTTCTAAAGCCCATAAACCAAAACCAGTTAATTTATAAGTAAAGAATTCTTAATGCTAAAAATATACATCTGAAAGACCTATTTTGGCTGATGTGTTCTTTCTATCTTGCCTGCTCTTGCTCCTGTACTCACCAACACTGCAGAGGACTCAGCAGTAGATCCTTCATGCACTTTTGTTCATGACAAAGCAAGGTATGTGCCAGCAAAGGGAACTGTACTTTGCATTTAAGCAGAGGCTTTCTTAGGAATTAAATCTGTAATGTCGAATGAAGTACTTTCTCACAGGAGGTTTGTTATCACTTGACACTAGACACCATTGTATTTATTCTTCCTTAGTGGCTTTGGAAGCACAATTCCTCTACCCTCCAAATAACAGTACAGAGATAACCCCAGGACACGTTTAAAAGAAGTCCCAAAAGCTTTAAGGCACAACCTCTGTTGTGCTTTGATGTTCTCAACCACATACTTTTTTTTTTCACCAATAATACAGTAGTATACATCACACTGATATTTGGCTATATATGTTCTTCCCCTTTAGCTCAAAGTACAGACACCAATTCTTATTATCAGTCTCCACTTGATCCCTCAACTCCTTTCATTAGTTAGAGAAGAATAAATGCTTTTTGTTTTGGCACAATATCTGTCAATCAAGGAAGTCTCTCACAGCTTTGTTCAACAGCTGCAAAATCTCAGCCTAACATAATGGGGCTTCCATGAAGCTGTACAAAATAATTAATCTTCTTTATTGAAGACCAGTGATACCTATCTTAATTAGGCCTACTAGGCAAGCTAAATGCATTAAGAGGCTGTGGATTTTTAGTGATCTCAGATATATTAGCTCCTAAAGCTCAATACCAGTCTTCCCAGGATCTTTTTGCAAACCACACAGCATAGATGCCAGCATCCTTATCATGACACTTCAGTGTTTAGCTCAAGTTCCCTAATGAAGTTTGGTCTCAGTTTGCAGTAACCATTCTTTCAAGGTAAATCTTCCTTCAACTGAGAGATCATTTTAATTAACCTGCTGAATCAAGACACAGTCCAATACCCAGGAACAGTAACTACACATTGCAGCCCATGCAGTCTGGGGATGTCTTTAGAGGACATCCTAGGGCTGTTAACCATCTCTTGCTTTCAAGTAGGATTGATAAACTGGGTGTCTTTGAGAAGCCAACCCAGCAGTGTCCATCATCATTGCTGAATTACTGGAAATGAACAGCCAAAGCAGGGACTTTCAGGTAACCACACAAATTGAATCAAGACTAATAACAATAATAAAAATATTTAAACTGTTACACAGCACTACAACCCAGCAGCCTAAAATGCCTCTTTGGGTCTCCCTTCTCCCACTCCTTTATGGAGCTGAGATGAACTATACAAAAACCCAGAGAGGAATGGTCCAAAAATACCCACCAAAACAGACCTAACCATAGGAATATTGTGAGCCTTGACTCTAAAGGTGAGAAATAATGTATTTTTGAAAAGCCCTTGAAGAGCTTTAAATAAGATGGCAAGAGATTTCAGTCACACTATTTGGGTACCTCCATAACAACTAAGTTCAGTAACAATGCTTAGGCACCACCGAGGCAAAAAAGCAGAGCTTGAGATTTTGTCTTTATGCAGAAGACTGGAGACAGAGTAGGCTTAGAAATCACTGTCATTATACTTCTCTCATATCTGGAAGATGCTTTCTTTAAGTAGCAGTAGGATTTCTGCTCAACAAGCAGCCAGGAATTATTACATCTCCCCCATTACAGTAAACATTATAAGGCTATGGAAAAATCAGTGCCAAAAATTCCTCTGGTCCCAGTGGTGAAGTCTTCCATTAAAGATGACTGGAGTCAACAGGTTCTGCAGCGTAGGGGACATTTGAACAGAGGTCTAAGAAGGCACAGGCCATTATTAGTATCCCAAATCCAATGTCACATTTTGGCAGCAGTGACAGTACCTCACATTGCATTTCTGCACAGAAAAAGGCAAATCTGTTCACTGAAGCAAGGTAAGAAAATGCACTTCCTAGCATTAAAAAACCCCCATCTTTTACACGACAGAAAGTCTTAAAGTCTCAATAATGTTTATGGGACTGAAAACCTGCCGTACACAGCGATGAAAACCTGCCAGGCAAACACACCGAAGTGGTAAGATGAACAGTGCTCTGTTTGCAGTGATTACGCTCGGGCTGCAGGCTTGCTGTATTAACAGATCGGGAAGCTGCCAACGTGCAGTCTCGTCGACAAGCCACTGTATGCATGATGCATCTGTCCTCCCTGGCAAGCATCCAAAACTTTGCTGCATCATCCTCATTCCATTTGTGAAAATGCCCTTTTTCCTCTTTCTCTTTTAAGATTTGACAAAAGCTTTGGTTATTTCCTGCTCAACGGTGCTCTCCATCAACTCCAAATGAGGCTGAGGGGGGAAGAAACCACAAAACACAACAAACCCCCTAACAATTCTTAGAATTTTTGTGTCAAAAAGAATTAAGCAGACTTTTCAGGACAACTGTACTCTCCCTAATCAGATATGTTTGCTCTTAGGAAAGGACTAATTTGCATAGGATGTTGGTGCATAAAAGCCCATCCATTCTCAGGGTGAATACTAATGCAGCAAGATTTTGTATCTTGGTACAAGAAATTAACAACAAAAATTCTTTACTCACTTTAAATTGTTGTCAGGGCTCTAAACAGAAGTTGATTTGGGGTTTTTTTAATTATTTACAGCTGCTAAATACAATTAACAATGTTTCTTTAGAAAATATTTAAATAAAAAGTTTTCTTCTGTAACATAATCAGATATAAACAGAAAAAAAATAATCTGGTTGAAAGGATCAGAAAGAAAACAACATGTCCCTGACACTGCAGGCATATTAGCTATATGAAGCTAACTACTATATAATTATTTGCATTTAGCAAATAATTAACATCCAGATACTCTGTCACAACAAAACTTTTAGATATTGCAAATTTCAGTGCTGTCATCAAAAACCCACAAAAAATAACCTCCTGCCCTTCTCCCAAATCACACTGTCCTGAACTCAGATCCATCAATACCGACTTTTCAAACAGTAGCAGAGTGTACGATCAGCTATGCCATGTCCTAGTCAAGTCCCAAAAAAAAAAGCTTTGCCTCTCCAGAAGCATTGTAAAAATACATTTATCTCTTTTCTGGTGGACAAGGTATCAAACTGTACAATTACCTTTCTTGGTGCAATACAAGCCATTTTAGTCTCTTTTGCAGAGCTGGAACGTAACTAGAGTCAATTCTTCTACTCCCTCCAGAATGTGTACACAATGGGAATAGCCCGAATTTATAGACAGAAAGACAGCTACAGAAGGAAGGGGGAAAGGGGGGTGTTTCCAAAACAAGTGATCCAAGTGACTCAAACAACTTCTCTTCTCTAACCATTTTATCCTTTGTCCATGACAATGTAAAGTCTGTTTAGCTAAATACTGAAATTTAATATCAGCCATGATCTCCCATCTCTCTGCTCACCAGAAACTGAATTATTACCACAAGAAATTTTTATACTAAAGGTCTGACTAAAACAGTGTTTTATGCAGCTACTTCCCAGACCACTAATAAAGTCATAATGCTGGAGGTCTCAGCTCAGGCTTTCCAGCCTGTTTCCCAGATCTGACGGACATTGGGGATCTTCTGTCAATATTTGTTTAGTACCTAAAAAAAACTAACAGGTGAGCAGGCAAGGGCACAACACTGCCTCTGATGGATTCTGCTAAAATTTCTTCAGCTTGGCTGCTGAATAGACCTGGAACATAGCCCATTTCATCCACTGTCATGCAGCAGAGGCTAGAGATGTTCTCGTGCTTGCTAGACAGAGCCCTGCCTATTCCCTGAAGGTGAGTTAAACACAGACCATTTCGGAGCACCCTCTATAGCTAAGCACCACTGAATACATGTGTACCTTCTTAGGCACCTGCACTGTACATAGTAAACAAAGTACTGAGTGCTTAAGATTAATCTAGGCTTGATTATATCATCTGTGAGGGTGGAAACCTAGCTGTGTTACAGCAAATAGTAAATCTCCTGCCTATGTGAAGAATGAAATCTTGGGTGATTTCCCATGGGAACTAGGATGCAGAAATATCATGCTAGGTATTGAATTAAAAGCATAACTTCCACATACAAATTACAAAAGCTGATGTTATTGCTAGACACTTGGGTTGAAAACCTCTCTTATCTCCAGCTACAGTCTCCTTTGCATCCCAGAGGCTATCACAGACAACAGTACTTGGCAGCACATCAAAGCCCAGCATGCAGTTAAATGGGATTTTGCTCGTCTCTAGTTCAATAATGCTGCCTTGTTCATCTCAATGCAACTTGCTGAAGAAAAAGATGCAAGGTCACAGTTAAATAATGCTTATTTCCTGTTCTCAGCATATTTACACTACAGGCTTTACACTGCAGACACACAGCATTAAAAGGATTCGCAGTAACCCATTACACACGAGCACAGCAAACAAGGGGAGTTCAGAGGCTTCTGTTTACTACAAGGCCTTATTTTGAAATGTACCATCATAAAAAAAAAGCAAAAATGGCTTCTGCCCCTCTGTGCTTGCAATCTAGGCAGACATTGTTTAAGAAGCCCATGAATACTTCAGAATATCATCAATTTGCTCATTGATCAACTGATGGAGAGCAAACCACAAACATGATCTCTCTCAACAACTAAGCTGGTAGAGGCACAAACTAAACCCCAGCAAGGGTCCCTGTCTGGGAAGAAGAAATGCTGCTGTGTCTCAGCTGTTCAAAGCAGAATCCAATACTCAGTTTTGGTGTCATCCAGGTATCTAAAGCAGCCATCCCATGAAGCAGAGAAATGCTTAACAGCAAGTTTTAGACAATCACAGTTATCCCACACTGATTTTAAGGTTACATGCTAATCTCTTCCATTAGAAATAGAAGCTACTTAAAAATAAAGGCTTTTTGCAGGGTTTTGTGGTTTTTCTGAAATCTAGGTCTCAGGCTTCAAATACTAAGCTTGTGTTCACTAAACCACTACATTACCCTCATCACACACAGTATGTCAAAGTTACATTCAGACCATATGTGTATGTATTCTTGCCAGGTACACTTTACAAAAGTGTTAAGTGTTACCTATTGATTTAGCATCTTAGTAAACTGCTTGATACACTGAACTTAAAAGCATGAATATAAGTCAGGGCTCCCTATACTATGCCTCATTATGAAGTACAGCTTTCCTTAAAATAGAAGAAGTCTTTTAATTGGTAAAATTTAAATGCCAGAAATAAGAGACATGGATCCTCAAAGTAGTTTTAGAGAAAAACTTTCAGTTTGCATGTGGGGAAGAAGAAAAACCAAAACAGCACATTTGTTTGCATGTCTGTTTTTAACTACACTTTTGCTTTACTTTGCATATATCAATCCTCAAGACTGGACATAAAAGTGAACTTAAAATCCACAACAGAGTTACATTTAAGGACAAAACGAGGCCATCTATATGCTATCTAAATGGTCAAGTTTGTTCTGCAGTCTCTAAATGTACAAACATATTTGGTGAAGAAAACGAAATGAGCCACTGTCTCGTTTGCTGCTGTTTCTATTTAATGGAATACCCAGAAACCATTCTTGCTTTCAACTCACCAGAGTATTTTGTTAACTAGACTAATACACTCAATACAGCTGTATAATGGCTTAATTAGTCAGGAAAAGGAGTGGCTGATTCTCATTTCCAGAAGGTCCTTGAGATTAAAAAAAGAATACACAGCACCACGTTTCATTTTGTATCTCCATCTGCTTAGCTTTTTCATGCCTGTTTCACAAAAGAGGAGAGTTTTCTGTAAAAAAGTTTTTCTGTTGATGACTAGCAACTAAAAGAATAATATATCTGCACTAATTTTAACGATATCTCCCCCAGGAAACACGCAACCTAAGTGTGTGCCTACTTTCTTTGGAAAAATTCTCTGTTTCAACAGCCAGATTTAAAGTCCTTTCTCTTCCCCTAATGACTCAATGCAGTCTTTTCACAACCGCCATCTCAAGGAAAAAGAATGAGCTGAGTGCACAAGGAATCATAATTTGGGAAAAAAAAAATAGTATATATGTCATAATAAATAGCTTTACAACACGCAGTGGCTGTAAGATTATCAAAAGTGTTTCAGATCAAAAAGCTGCAAAGCTGTATTACAAAACCAGACCTCAGGCTCTGAAAACGAAAGTGCTTGTTTGATTATGACTGACAGGCTTACAATCAAGGGTTCATATCTCTTATAAAACAATTACTCGGCCACATGCGGCTTATATCATATTATAGAGGGAAGGAAGTAAAGAGCTTTCAGCTTTGAAATCTAGTTATTAATTTCTCACTAGTTATAAGAATAAAATAAGGTTCTGATTCAAATCTGGAGAAAGAGGCCCTGACAAGGTAGCTTGCCATCTGTGCCTTTAGTTATCTTAAAAGCCTATTTGGATATATGAAATAATAGAAAATGCTTTCTCTCCAAATACAATTTCCAGGGATTGCTTCCTGCCATTAGTTTTCTTTTAAGTAACCCCATTATTATCAAAAGCCAGATCTTTAAAAAGCACAAACAACATACAAGGTCATGGTCCTGTACTCATCTGCAGCAAAGGAGCAAGACCAGGCAAAGTGCCCGTCTGCCACTGGCAACCTGTTGGTATTAGATGTTTGACTCCACTTTCCACTTCTGAATATCTCTCCCAGCAGCAGGAGAAGATTGCACTAGATCCTTTGCTTCCAACACTGGCTCAGAATTTTAAGGACACGCTGAGTTCTGTTACAAAGAGAAGCAGGTAAGAAGAACATTTGCTCTTCAGAAAATACCATTTCCTCAAACGAGTGCCACAAGTTCCAGTTAGGAACTCACGAAGGTCTAACCCATAAATGGAAATGACTTGTCCTCAGGTGCTCTCTGGAATCTGTTTCCATCTAAATATAACCAGAATCCTGAGAGGAAACACTTCAAACACAGTCCTTGACTAACAAAAGAAGCAGTCTCCTTACACACAGAGGAGCAATACGTGAAGAGCGAACTCTCCAAATACTTTAGCGGATGCTAATCCAAATAGTAACAATAACGGCTGCATTGGGAGATCTGACACTGCCCCAGCTCCAGCCTTATGCCAAGCCCAACTACAGTGACATTTGTTCTGGGCAGCGCACAATTCCTGGGGCAGGCAAACATACAGAATTCATCCTCATGCAACACCAGTGCCAACGCAGATCAAACATCCAATCTCATCCCAACATACTCA